CACTGAGAACAGCCTAGCTCCATCCTCTTTGGAGCCCCCCTTCAAGTAGTTGAAGGCTGCTATTAAATCCCCTCTCAGTCTTCTCTTCTCTAAATAAGCCCAGTTCCCTCAGCCTGTCCTCATAACCCATGTGTCCCAGGACCCCTAACCATTTCTGTTGCCCTCCACTGGACTCTCTCCAATTTGTCTACATCAGGCTTGTCCAACATAAGGCCCGCAGGCTGCCATGCAGCCCTCCAAGCTGTTTTCTGAGTCCCGAGGTGCTGCGACAGGAAATGAAAGTAAACACTGAACTTTCATTTCAGGGCGGTGATGTGATATCACTTCCTGTGAGGTCTCTGAATATGGCTCACCAGCCCATTGGGTAATAAAAAGTTCATGATCCGGCCACACATTCAAAAGGTTGGACACCTCTGGTCTACATCCTTTCTGTAACAGGGGGCCCAAAACTGGACACAGTACAGGTGATCCTCACCATTCATGGGGAATACATTCTCGTATCCCCTGCAAATGGGAAAATCCCCGAATAAGGCTGTCTGTATTCATGAACTCCGTGCCCCCGGCGGCTGGTGGGGTGGGTGGGCACAGTTGTGCTGGTGACAGTGGCAGGAGCCTGGTGGTGGGAAGTGTGGAGCTCCCAATAACTCCTTTAAGTGTATTTAAGAAGTGGGTTCAGCATTTGCAAATATTTGAAACCATGAATGCCGAACCCACGAATAGTGAGGGTTTCCTGTACTCCAGATATGGCCTTACCAGTGCCAAATCAAGGGGAATAATTACTTCCCTCAATCTGCTGGCAATGTTACAAATACAGCCCAGGATGCCATTAGCCTTCTTGCCAGCAAGGACACACTGTTGGCTCATATTTGTCTTATTGTCCACTGTAACCCCCAGGTCCTTTTCTGCAGAGCTGCTGCCCAGCCAGTCAGCCCCCAGCCTGTACCAGTGCATGGGATTCTTCCATCCCAAGTGCAGGACTTTGCACTTGTCCTTGATGAACCTCATGAGATTTCTTTTGTTCCAGGCCTCCAATTTGTTGAGGTGACTTTTATGAATTTATGATTCTCTGAGTCACAGCCCTACCCTCCAGTGTATCTACAACTTTCCCCAGCTTGATGTCATCTGCAAAGTTGCTGGGAGTGCACTCCATCTCATCTTCCAGGTCGTTGATGAACATATTAAACAAAAATGGCCCCAAGACCAACCCCTGGGACACTACACTTGATACCGGCTGCCAACTAGACATTGAGCCATTGATTACTACCCTTTGAGCCTGACAATCCAGCCAGTTTTCTATCCACCTTATAATCCATTCATCTAACCCATACGTCCTTAGCTTGCTTGTGAGAATGTTGTGCGAGACCGTAATGTTCAATGGTTAGAATCAGGGGACAGTAGTGAGGAAGTCTGTGCTGCATTGGGAGCAAGGACCCAGGCTACAACTCATCTCACTGAGCCACCTACCCTCTGCCTTGTTTTCTTCTTCCTCACCTTCTCTTGGCTGGGAAGCAGCTTCAACCCCCTTCTGCGTGAGAAAGTACCTAGAACTAGGGTTATCTACCTCATGAGCAAATGGCCTAACTGCTAGTCCAAGGGTGTCAAACTCATTCAGCCCTGTGGGCTGGCTGAGAGGCACAGGGCTGGTCTTTGGGCTGCATCAGACCCACAGACTTGCCCCATACATTAGAGCCAATATGCAGGGCTGGTCTGGCAAGAGCAGTTCATGCAGTATGTGCCCTAGGCCATCCCCCTGTGCTACATGCAGCATGTGTGCTCAGTCCTGTCCCATTCACCACATGCAGAACCTGCCAGCTACAGTCTGGGGTTTGCACTAGACATGGTGTATGGGGCCACGGGGCCTATGCTGCATGTGGTGGCCACGCTGGACCAGCCTTGCATGCTAGCTCTAGTGCATAAGGATGATTTGCGGGCTTGATACAGCCCTTGAGCCAATGCTCAGGGTTGGTCTGGCACAGGCATTGCATGCAGCCTGTGCCAGACCAGCTCCATGTGCTGAGCCAGGGCCAGAATGTGCCATGTGTGGTGTCTGGGGTGGTCCTAGACCTATAGACTGGAACCTAGGGCTCCACAGACCAAATCCTGTCTGAGGACCTTAGGTTTCACTCCCCTGCATTAGTCTACTGAGCTAAACCAGGGAAGGACCTCTTCCTCCACCATCTAATACTCATGAGTATGGGTTTTTGCCTGGCTACAATTTTGGAAATCTGACCTTATACACCTATCTGTTCAATTGTACATTGCCACATACCTGCCTCCATAGAGTACAGCTCTACTGAGCATGCTTGGTGGGCATGTGTGCACTTGCAAGCCAGAGCTGACTCCCAAGCTGTGCATGCCAAAAACTGCAGATATGCAGCTGTCGTGCTTGGGTGCATGAAGTGAAATAGGACTTAGTTCAAGTGTTTGTAAAAAACCCTTCCCTTCAATCATGAGTCAGACTCGCCCACATCTCACGTTTTTCGTAGACTGATGACCTATTACACAATTATCCATTTGGGAGGGAAGGGGGTTATTTGCTTTCTGGTTTTAAGATTTCACATTTCTAGGCTCTTTCCCACACTTAACAGGTGGGAGCTTTCTTCTAAAACATGACCAAAAGCTGCAGCTCTCATGACTCCAGGATCTAGGACTTGAGGCACAGGACCAAATGTAGCAAGATATTTGATAAGATCTCAGTGAGTAGCAACACTGCCTCTGCGTGGGCTCAAGGTGCAGAGTAGTAGGCCTGGGCACAAAACTTTTATTCTTCCTCTTTTTAGGTAGTTACTGGGTGCGTCTACATGTGCAAATGCTCCAAGATGGCCTTACTCTAGAGCAAATTACTCTAGAGTAAACCCACCCCGGGCACGCATGCAGGGAAGTGGGAGCAGATTTGCTGCTCATGGCAGCAGTCTGTTCCTGCCCCTGCCAGCCCTAGGCTCCCCCTGGATGCTTGCCCAGGGGTTGGCAGGGAGCATGGGGCCAGGAGACAGCTGTCTCCTGGAAGTGGCTGGGACATTGCTCCCTGCCCATGGGAACTGCCTGCTGCTGGGGTGGGCTCCACCACCAGAGCCCAGGCAAGAATAATGTTCTTCTGCCGGCAGCAGGGAGCATCCAGCCCCTGCTCCCCTGATAAGAACCTCTCAGCCCTGAAACTGCAGAGTGGGGCTGGGAAATAAGCATCTCCCTGATCCCAGTCACAATCATGGGGACTGGGAGCTCCCTGCTGCCAGAGCAGAGGGACATTGTCCCTGCCCAGGCTCCAGTGGTGAAGCCTGCCCTAGCAGCAGGCAGTTCCTGGGGGCAGGAAGCAATCTCTCACCCCCTACTGACCAGAAGCACATTTACACCATTGCATGCACTACTGTGCAGTAAGTAATCGGAAATAAATTTGCCACTTGTATTTACAGGTAGCAGATTTACTCATGATTAGGACAAATTACTGTGCAGTAAGCATCTGCACATATAGATAGTGATGCTTGCTGCACAGTAATTAGCTTTAATCTTGTCTCCAAGTGCCAGAGACTATAGCATCAAGGGAAACAATTCTTGACTTGCAGGCTGGTTCTTAGACCACTATAAAATATCTGTCGATAATAATAACAACAAGAAAGCGAGAAGAAAAATGGTTCGAGAACTAGGCCTAGATTTCCCCCTGATTGCACCACTTTTAGTACAGTGTAACTCCACGGATTTCCAAGGAGGCATAAAAGTGGTGTGACCTGATAGAAAACCCAAGTATCTTTGGTCCCATTCACCCTTCAGACTTGCTGCACTCACTCTGCTGGCCCGGAGAGAACAAATTAGATCAGCTTTCTCCTATGTGTTTTGAAAAGTGCAGTGCACTGTCAAAATGAAACCCCTGCATTATCATTTTTAGCCGTGATCAAGACACTTAACACCACTACTGCTAATAATGGCATTCTTAAAGTGAACCGGAGGAAAGCTCAGTTGGTTAGTCTGTGAAGGTGCATATCTACCCTGCCTTCCTCCTTAAGAGAAGTCATTCTTCACGTGCCCCATCCGAAGTTGTCCCTGATGCGCCAAGCGCTATCTCGCTCGCAGCTAGAAAGCTGCAAGCTGTGGGAATAACGATTTGCAGCAAGGGCAGGTCCTTCCCGGGCCGCGATTGGATCCGGCTGGCGGTGAGCTCACGGCGGAGGCCGGGCCCAGGGCGAGGGAGGGCTGGTTTGCGACACTGCCTGGGTGGATATTAACGGGGCGAGGGGCGGGGCCTGGGGCAGCCGGTACCTGTGCTCGCTTCCCCGGCGGCGGAGGTAAGCCCCGGCGATGGAACGTTGGCTGCGCGAGCGTTCGGCTCCTGGGCACGTGTTTCCGGGGCCGGGGGGGGGGGCCCGTTTGGGCACCGGCGAGGTCGTGCGGCGCCCGGGGCTGTTTTGCTCCGCGGTTTTTCTGCGGCTTTTCCCCTCCGCGCTACATCGAGCTGGATGGGTGGGGGAGGGCTCAGCGCCCGGCTCTTTTCCCCGGCTCGGGCCACTGCAGCTGCCGCTGCGGCGGATCTGCGGGAAGCAAGGGGTTATCCCCGGGCGGGGGCGGGGGGAGTCCGGAGGAAACAAGTGGGACCCGACCCAAAGTTTGGGAGCCGAGGGGGCGGATGGGAGCCGCGGATCCGTGCCGGAATTGCTCCTAACAGCAAGTTCTGATGCTGCTGATTATTATTATTTTTATTTATTATTTTTTTAAATCCCCCCCAAGCGAGCTGTGTGGAGCTGCAAGAAGAAAAGCGCTCGTTTGTGCTGCTGTGCTCGGCGCTTCCGCGCTGCGGGTCCTGGTGGCCGGGGCTCCTCGGAGCTCCCCGCAGGCTTGGGCTTGGGCTGGCTGCCGGAGAAAGGAGCCGGGGGGGGAGGGCTTCGCCGTGGTCCTCCGTAATTAGCAGCCCTGATTAGTTCCATTAGAAGAGCTAAAAGCAGCCTGAACGCGCCTCCCGGGCCTGGGTCTGACCGCAGCTTCTGCTTCATCTCACTCCTGTTTCTTTCTAGCAGCAGCCTCTGATCATGAAGAAGAAAGCGAAGGCTTGGAGGGGAGGCTCGGCTGCCTGGCTCTGAGCCACAAGTTGTGCGCGGCGCCCCATGCTAGGAGATGCGTTTTCCATAAATAACTGGCTCGCACATACTGTGCCATGGGCGTAAAGCCTCTTGAGACAGGGATGACTTGGTTTTGAGATAATCTCTCTCTGTGCGAGCGACAAAACTGACCTTTAGATAAAAATGGAGGACTTTACGACCAGGACCTACGGGACCAGCGGACTGGACAACAGACCTCTCTTTGGAGAAACTTCAGCAAGGGTAAGCTGGGAGTCTTGGTGCTCTCCAAAATCTCTCCATCTAGTGCTGGCTGATAAAAGGGGGGCTTTCTTACTTTGATCTAGAGTGAATCGGTGATCTGTAGAGCCTGTATGTCGGGTGTTATCAGGACTGTGAAAAACTTAGCTCATTTTTTATTTTGTGTGTGTGTGTGTGTGTGTATACACACACACACAGAGCTTTCTTTTATATAAGTTTTTTCACAGTCCCAAAGCCTAGACTTTAACACAAACACCAAAATCATGAGAATTAACAACACTGTTATTAAGTTCACTACGTACCTTCAGTCTGTGAGGAGTCACTGAAGGTAGGCTCTGTCTTGAGACATCAACCTGCTTTGACAGGGAGGAAATTACTTTTACACCCATAGCATTACCTGTACGTCTTTGGATCCGGCTGGCGGTGAGCTCACGGCGAAGGCCGGGCCCAGGGTGAGGGAGGCTGGGGGCTAAGAAGGAGACTTGTTTGAGCCAAGAGAACGGTTGTCGCTGGACTCATTCAAAGAACCTTTCTAGGGTCCCGTGCATGGGGGTGAGATGCATGGCTCTCAAAGAGTCGTCTTGCGGATCTAATGGTGTGATTTGTGTAATGTGAACTTGACTTTCTCAACTGCATATGCTTAGCACATGGTATCAGTTGCTGATGATGTTGTTGAATCTTCTAATAATGGACTCTTGTGTAGAGTGGTCATCACACACTTTCCTGAGCAAATTACTTTAGAAGCCTCTGGATTTTCGTGGGATTTTGTTCGAGTGGTAGTTCCCAAGAGACTGGGAAGGGGATGTGTAATTCTTGCTGTTAGGAGTATTTCATCCCTGAGCTAGTTGCTCTTGCTTTCTCTCTCTGCCTTGTTTCACCACCAGTAAAATAGTGATAATGTCTGTTACAGAGCAATGTTGAGAACTTAATTGAAGAATACTTATTTGTTAAGCATTTTGAACTGAGCTGCGCTATGCAAATGTTTAGATGTAATTTTAGATCTGTTCTAAGCAAATAGAGGAACTGCTTTCTGTAAGAAGAGTACTGGTACTGTTCCTAGTTAAATATGCTGTGCTCTGAAATGGTTGGGTTCCTTTTTTTGGGTTAAATGTTGTATTTCTCAAAATGCAGAATCAGGTCAACTAGACTACCTGCAAATTAGTGCAGAAGTGCTCAAAATCTCAGAAAGGCCCTGCAAAAATGAAATGCCTTTGCTTTGAAAATATCAAAATTGAAGCGTTTCTAATTGCATAATGAAATCTCTTTGAAATTTCATTTGAAGAAAGAGAGAGGAAATATGTATCTAAAGATTGCAGATCAAACTTTTTGTGTTTTTTGTTTTTCTTTTGCCATTGAACTGGAAAAGTATCTGTTGGCACAGACCTGTTCCCAGATCTAGAAGGATGTTTACACTAAAAGATGTAACAGCGTGTATAAATGTGGTGGGGTGGAGTATCTTTTTAAATATATACATAAAATAGAAGTTTCTTTCCTGTGTTCATAGAATGGATGTGTCTTGGGATAAAAGGGATCAGAGGTGTTTAGTTTGTAAAATGGAGTCTTCCTCCAATTGTATTGTCCAACAGCTTTCTCCCTCCAAGCGTTAGAGACTATTAACCTATATGGATCATGGCCTGTTAAACATCCAATTAAATGGAGTAAAGTGCATACAGTTCACCTAAAGGTAACAAAAAATAAAGTTGCATTTTAAATGTGTGAAGGATTCAGAAGGATCCGTTGCTTGTGACTCTATAGTCGCAACTAAGTAGAACACAGCCAAAGACATGGCCTGAGACAACACAGAGAGAGTAAGTGCATGTCGGCCGTTGAGCACAGGTGCTTTCTTCTGCACCTGTCAAATGGCTCTGTCACAACAGCCACCTCTAGCTAGTCCTAATCCTCTTCCCCCTGTCACCTGCAGAAGTCTCCGTGCAGAGGACAGTGCAAGTTTGGGGCCTACAACTGGCTGCAGACTGCAGGCCTGACCTTCAGGACTTCTGCACACTGAAATCGGGGCTGGCTGTGGGTATCTGCCCCTGGAAGAAGGAGTCTCCATCTCTCTTGCATCTACTGCTCTGTTGCTGAACTTGCCATCTGTTGATCTCCTTTCATCACCTTCTCCTCCTCTTTATTTGTTCTCTCTAGTGCTTGGAACAGCCCCTGTACCATACTGTAGTGTAGCTGTCTGGTGTGGATTGTAAGCTTTTGGTGGGACAGTGGCTTGTCTCTAAAGTATCTTTTGTATCCAATAGGCTGGACTGTACCATAGGCCCTACACGGCCTACTTCCCTTCTTTTTGTAGCATAAATCATATGGACTTGTGCTTCCTGGAGCAGAAGGGAAGTTCTGTTTCTGTTGGATGGCTGTGGTGTGCATACTATGACACCTGTGAGCTCTAGGATAGCTGTGGATCTGTCAAAACCAAGCCAGAGCTCTGCCTGAGCCTAATGACAGATCAGACGAGTGCCTTTAAGAGACACCAGCATGCATAGTGAACAGCACACAAGGAGCTGATGTGGCTAGGCAGGCAGGTACCCATTTACAGCTAGATCACATGGGGGAAGCCCTTTAGCATGAGTCTGGAGTAGGGTTCAAGAAGGCACCTTCACCACCATGTTTTAGTGCCCCTTCAAAATGTACCTATTGACTGACTCTCTTTTCTGAACACAACTAATGCTTTTCCTGGAGCTTTCTCTATTCTGCCATTGTTACATGGACAAATCAAGAAGGATCAGTTGAGCTGCTCAAATGGGTAGGTGGGTAGCGAATATCTGTGAAATGGAGAAGGAGAGGATTAAAGGTAAAGGTCTTTGCTTTGTTGGATGGCAAAAGCCAGCAGAAAAGATTTTGTCACAAATTGCTGTTCATAACTTTGCTCAAACTTTCAACTTCTGATACTACAAGTCAGGCCATACTGAAAACTCCCTTCCTACCAGGGGCATATCAGGGGCACCAGACTTAGCTCTCATGGAAGACCCCAACCTGCAATAAACTCCCTTGGGGGTGGTTTAAACTCTTCACACCCCATTACAGTATATGGTTTCCTGGCATTTATTTTAAGAATGCGTGGTGGGCTTGTAGACTTCAGCATCTAATGTACTTTGTACTCTTGGCTTTAAGTTGGGGGTGACATGGCTCACAAACTCCAGTGTGGCTGACATCTCATCTGATCTGGTTGAACATATTGGGGTGTTTGCCTCTTTCTTGGACTTCATGTATCAAATTTATAAAGAGAAAAATCTGAGTGGGATGCAGCTTTGAGTCCACATAACTGTCTGGTAACTACATACACACGTGCACTTGGCCTAGCAACGTTAGGATTCTGGGGGCTTTGCACTAGAAGGAAGGAGGAGCCCCTAAAGGGCTTCCACACTATTTATAGGGATAAACTTATATTCCTGTCAGAGGCATAACAAGTGGCTTTGTATCTTGTGCAGCAGCTGCCAGTCTTTACCTCCTCTCAGATGGTGCCTGGGGCTGGTGCCTGTTTGTCCACCCTACTGATTCCTGCTCATCACAACCTCCCATCTGACAGCTTGATGGTGATGGTGTCCTGTGAAACTCTTCTAGTGGGAACTGTGAAGAGGACATAAAGTAGATCTTGGACAGGACATGCATCCCCTTAGCTGCTGCTACTTTGGCCTGAAATCTGGTAATTTATCCTAAGTGAGTGGTGCTCATCCCTCCCTTAGCATGCCTTTTCTCCCAGTCTTGCCAAGGCTATATGTGCCTCATGTCTCTGGCAACATACCTGTATATTCCTTGCGTGGTGGGCACCAGAGCTTTTATTGATATGCTGTGGGCTCTTTGAAGCCTGGTAGGAGTCTCATAAAACCAAGCTCTGTTCCAGTAATGCTTACATTGGACTTGGCTGGTGTTCATGACCAAAATGACCAGGTTTAAATTATGGCATTGAACTTGTACTTTCAGCTCTTACTACTTAATTACAGGTCCATCATCTGGCACTTATAGCTGAAAAATTGTACTTGGCAGCCACATATCCAGTGGCTGGAGTTTCCAAGTCTTTGACCCCTTCTGGCACACATCCACCTTGACCTGGATTTCTGTGTGTCTAGCTCATTTTACCCCTCTCCTTTTTCCTGTTCAGTTACTTTGCAGGATTGCAGGGAAGCCTGTGTTTCTTCTTGACAATGGACACTGTACAACTGCAATGGTAACAGTATTTGGAGGGTTGCTGTAAGGGGCTGAGATGCAGCACTTGGACATTGCAGAGCAATCTACGTTTCTTATTGTCATCATGGATCTGGGCTCTGAGATGATGTAGGAATGGGGCTGAGTGAAGAGCGTGTTGCTTGACAACTATGCTGTGTAGTGCCTCACGCTGGCTCACAATTGATGAGTGTGACTGATGGGATTTTTTGGATGAACTTCTTGCAAAGGAGGAAAGATGAGGGATAGAATTGCTTCATGAAAAAATTCTCTTGCAGGTCTCTGTGGGCTAGAGATATTGGGAATAACTAGGGTTCATTATACAAAGGGCCTGTAATGAATGTTATTCAGTAACGAGCTGAAATCGGTTTACAAAAAAGAGATGGCCTGCCCTGGGTTCTGGATGAAATATTATATATTCTTCCAAGTCTTTCTTTTGGCAGGGAGAGGAGGAACCTTTAGGCCTGTCTCCTGGGTAACTCTCAATTAAGTCCACGTATTTGCCTGCATCCTTCTGCAGTTTTAGCTTTTCTTTTCTGTATGGATGTGGTGTGACCAGTCCTCTGCTTGGCTTTCGCTTCTGGAGGTGGTGCAGTTAAGTGACTTCTTGGTCCAGGGCTTTTTCTTTACAAGGGGCTCAAGCTGAAATTTGAATGGTGGGCAAGACCAGGCTCGGAGCCCACAAAGGGTGCTGGGATCACTGTGGTTGAAGGGCACCACAGATCTGACTTTCAGACATGCTGAGCAAATGTAGCTCCGTCCCAAATCAGTCGGAGCTGCTGGTATTCAGCATTTCTGAAAGTCGGCCCTTTACAGCCAATCTACTGCAGGCA